GCGCTATATAAATACAGGCCATTTACCATTTACAATAACAGGCTTTTTAAATAAAACATTTCAACCAGCGTGTCAGTGAAGTCTAATCAGAGTGAATTTGAGAAACATCAACTGCAGTTCACCTGGTGTTGCTGCAGGGGGCGCTCGAGAGCTGGTCCTCAATCAAAGGCGTAAATCAGGGGTGTCCAACTCCAGGCCTCAAGGGCCGGTGTCCTGCAAGTTTTAGATCTCACCCTGGGTCAACACTCCTGAATCACATCTAAATCCACATCCTGGATCAAGGACGCATCTAAACCCAGCAGGACACCGGCCCTCGAGGCCTGGAGTTGGACACCCCTGGTGTAAATGAAACTAAACTGGTGAAAAACAACCATTTAAACCTGCTTCTGTACAACAAAAGAACATCTTTGATTTGGTTTTTCTCAAATCCAGCATCCATAACACATCCAAACTGAAATAAAATGACTTTCATGGCCTTCAGTTTGTTTTAGAGTGAGGCTGATTCTGCCTGTTTTTTTGGGTTTTGTTTGTTTGTTTGTTTGTGTTTAAAGCTAGCATTTGCTAAAGGAGGCTGATTGGTCGAGTAGAGGACTATAACATGGAGCTATGTTGAGAGGAGTTGGATGGTCTGCTCTGATGTTCAGTGAGCAGAGGCTACTTTATATAATGCTTTTAGTCACCGTCTGATACCCACTCTGTTTGCATTTGCAGTCGAGATCAGTATGAAGGGTCCACATGGCTTTATATCGGCGTCCGAATGGCCTCTAATGATGGTAAGAGCAAACACGTGCACGCAGAGAAATTAAAATGATATTTATTTGCTCTGGTATTTAAAATGCAGCAATAAGTCATTTACTTCCTGTCGCTCCTTTCTTCCAGTTCTACATGGTGATGTGCATCGTGTACGTGCTGCTCGCCGTGCTCTGGTTGGTTCTGTCCGCGTGTTACTGGAGGGACCTGCTCCGGATTCAGTTCTGGATCGGAGGTGTCATCTTCCTGGGCATGTTGGAGAAAGCCGTTTACTATGCCGAGTTCCAGAGCCTCAGATATGAAGGCGTGTCAGGTAGACAAAGACGCACACAGGTGGTGGCCCACGTGGTGCGTGACAGAGCTGTGATGAATATCCTGTGTCACGTGTCCTCCTGCAGTCACCGGGGCGGTGGTGTTTGCTGAGGTGCTCTCTGCAGTGAAGAGAACTCTGGCCAGAGTGCTGGTCATCATCGCCAGTCTGGGATACGGCATCGTCAAGTGAGTTTCACAGCTGTTACTGACGGCTGGCGGGTGCTTTATATGTTTCCACTGTGAGAACCTCCTCTGTAGTAGAAGGAAGGACCGACTCTGAGGCTGATGTGTCTGAAAACCTCCAGCTGTGCAGTTAAAAACCCAGCAGCTTAGCTGAAGCCAGTTAGCAGATTTACGAGCCTAGTGCCGGTAATGTTATGCACCCGTTTGCCACCAGATGGAGCTGTAGCCCAGCATCATCGTAGAAAAATACCATAAATGTTAATTTAGGCCTGGAAATTGTTTTGTTGTTGTTGCAAAAAAGGTGTACTGGGAAACAAAAATGCTTTTTGTGACATTTTTGTCTGGTGGTGTCCTATGTGATTTTACTGATGTGAAATATGTGCTGTGGCCAGTGTTGGGTAAGTTACTTTAAAATA